GAGGGCCGTGAGGGCCAACCCAGTAATTTGTGCGGCCCTCGCTGCATTCTCAGGCTTGGCCAAGAGCTACTTTGCTGCTTCAGCTGCCAGGCTCTCTTGCTGTTCTTGCCAACAGCCTCGACTGAATCTATTCAAGGACATGCCCACACAGGGGTACAGCCCGGCATAGACCCAAGTCTGAACACCATCTCGTTTGCAGTTCCCTTGCTGCGAAGTGGAAGAGTTTTGTAGTAATGCTTTCCGGAGAAAAAACTCGAGCTGTTGCGTTGTTTTTCGTTCTCTCATTGGCGCAGCAGGCCAAGCCATCAGGCCGCCGCAATCAAAGCCTTTGAACCACACTACCAAAGCTTGAAGGGATGTCATGAAGACCGTATCAGCGAGACGCGCGTCCTACTGCAGCTGGCTGGTAATGTTCTCGTTGGATCGCATTTCATCAAAGAAGTGATTGAAGGGCCTTCGAGATGGGTGAATTGCAGTTGGGCTTGCGCTGTCCCACTGGGGTACATATTGTGTTTTTTCTTTTTAAGTCACTGCACCAACATGAACACTACTGTTGTGTCTCCAAGCGCCTTCCTCCCTCTTATACCCTACTCGAAGTCATCTTTTGACTGCAAACAAAAACATGCGGATAGGAGCAGGTGGCAAGGTAGTATTGGATCGGCGCGGCGCATTCGGGCGCTCGGTAGTCGCCTAACAGCCCCCAAGAAGCCTTTCCTAAGAGGCACATGATCTGCTATGCGTTGACCTTGAGCGGAGCTCTTTCAGGCAAGAGCAAAATGCTGTCGAAGGGCGTACCAGAATCAACAAGCGAATTGATCGAATGCTGATTTGGAATTGCGAACGTGAATGGTTGTTGAAATGCATGGTGTTGCATGGAAAAGCGTGCGTTGCACATGTCCCATGACGACTTGCGTGCCGCGGTGCTGCTTTGCATCTTGGGGTCTCGATCCGAGAAGTTTGCAACTGCGACAAAAACGTGTAGTTAGAGGTAGGCCCATGGTTCATGGCTGCGATGCCTGTGGTCGCCATCCTTTAGGTTGGGAGCGCTGTAAGCAGGCTTCAGCAGGGAGAAGATGCTCTACTATGCGGCGGTACGGTTCTTTGAAAAGGCAAGTTTCAAGGCAAATGGTTTGCATTTGCTATGTACACTTGCGTCAGGCGCGTTGCTGGAAGCAGGCGCTTGTAGTTCTGTCTGTTTCGAGGCTGCACTTTCGTTTTGTTTGCCACGTTCACCTTCTTGCCATCTTGCTGTGTCAGAGCACGAGGACTTTCCCACCTTCAGCTTTCGCCCCGACATCGCGACCTTCAATTCAGTGCAGAAGGCTCAGTTTCAGGAGACAGCAGGGACATGTGGGATACTTCCTTTCCAATCATGCATGTCCTCCGAGTCTTGAATTGCGTACTTTCAACAAGGTGTGTGGCTTGTGGCCAAAGTCGACTTTGGCACAGAGCTTTCGAAGTGTTTGCCGGGCCTGGTTCTTGCGTAGTTAAGTCCATTCCCACCTTCGCTTTCGAGTCCCGTGGCCCCACCCGTCTAGCGGGGTGAGCCATTATGCTCGTAGCCGTCCGCAGTTGTGGATGCATCTGGCCAGGATGGATCAGCCCACTGCTCAAATTCCCAGAACATCATCCCCTTTTGCTTAGGAGGAAGCACGTATGCCAAGGATGTCGAGTAGTGTGGTGCTGAAGGACATGGTATCTTACGACGCAATGGCAGCCGGGCTGAATGAGGTTGCCGCCGAGACAAAGCTCTTCTTCCTTTTGATTGCAGGTCACCGTACAGGGTCGGGAGACTTTTTGGCCAAAGGTCGTGCAACTCCTCCTGCTCTCCAGGCATGCCTGCACACCAGACACGGTTGGTTGATATGTGTGCAATGATGACGAGGTCAGAGCAGCTGCATCCCGATCGTGCATTGCTCGGTCGAGCGACTGCCTTGCTGATCTCCGCTGCATCCTTGGCCACAACAAAGCATAATCATGCAAAACATCCACATTGCTCCAAATGCTCTTTTCACCTTTTGTCCTCCTACGTTTATTGTTGCTTTTTCGCTTAATGATTTGACTTTTGCGCTTACTGTTCTTGCAGCTGAGGCAATAATTTCCAGTGTTGTTGAGATGGCTTTTTGTGATGAGTTCTGATATTGCAAATGTGTTTTTTTTTGACATCGCTATGCGAGGTAATTCTTTCTATCCCTACCAGCACCATTGCCACGATTTCACCACAGGCACTGCTTTGATGCTATTGTGAGTTGTGATTGCTGTTCTTATTGCATTGAATGCTACGATGACAATGACTACTGCTACTGCTACTCCTCCGTTTCAAGAGGCTTTCCAGGAGGGGCCTCTGATTTTTAGAGGGGCCAGAAGCGGATTGGTTCCTTGTTCGCCCGTTCTCCTGGCCCCCACACCCCGGCCCTCCCCCCTCCCCCTCCCCTCTTTCTCTAAAAGATATTTTCTTGCTCTATGGCTGCCTTCTTTGAGCAGAACTCAAGGTCGAATTTCTTGTTTGGAAAGGTTTCTACTGGTATGCGTGGGCCGTAGAATTTGAGTCGCCGGTCAGGACGTTGTTTGGGCCCGGCCGGTGCAGAGGAGAGCTCACTTTTTTGTTGTTGATGTCTTGTGGCTTTTTTTGCCAGCTGTTGGTGGAGGGCACAATGTGTTGAAAATCGAACCTGCTCTACAAGTTGCACTCCTAAACCACTTCCCGGTCACTCTGGGGCTACACAGGGGTCAAGACATTGTTCAACGTCCAGAAAGAAAGTTTCGGATGCAATTCAGAGAGGAAATTCAGACCACACTTGCAGAGCACACCTGAGGCCAAGAAGGCAAAGATTGCCCGTCGGATACAGCCGCACGCTCTGTGTTCGAGCATGTGATTAGGATTGCACATGTGGCTTTTTGTCTTGTTGGCCGTCCATTTCAATAGATTTCCATAGCTGAGCACCTCCAGCAGTGACTTCCTTTTCTGCTCTCATGTTGTTAATGTCTTCCAAGGTCAATTTTTGCCTCCAGACTTCAGTGCAAGCTAAGAAGACTCTCTGAAGTCAAGCTGGAAAGACTTTGCATTGGCATTGCTTGTCTGACTAAGCTGTTTGCGTGCATCTTGCCAACAACGACCGCAGTCAAGCTACAACCCCCAGCCCTGCGCCAGTTCTGGATGTTGCTCATCGGCCTCATTGTCTTTGTTTTGGCCTCGGCACCATATTCTGAGTTGCTGTGAAGCCTGCTCAGCTTGGTCAGCGACTGATGATACAAACCATGCCAAATCCGATGCTTGGTTGGTATTTGCAAGCTCAACCAGAGGCCTGGCTTCTGCAAGCTCTTCACTGAGTGCGTTGTCTTGCTTGTTCATCCAGCTCTGCAGTAGTAGACAGCAATTTTGGAATGCGGGTGCGCCAATCTGGCGCCATGTTCATACCGCTTAGCTGGACTTGTCGCTGCAGTCCTATGTACATACATTGTCCACTCCGCGTTTCATTACACAATGCTAATTCATGTGAGAGCGGCCCTTGCTGGGCCAGACAATGCTTCAGTGGAAGCAGGCGTGCCAAAACTTGTTGCGCTTTTATGGGACCTCTTTAGGATTTTCATCTGCCGTGGATGACGCTGCAATTTCCCTGTAGGCCAAGAACTGCTCGTCTTTTTCCAATTGGCTGACTTTGACTAGGACTGTCGAATCGCCTCTGTTCAGGTTCAGCACTTTCTCTTCGCGAATTTGTCAGTTGATGCATTGAGGTCACGCATGCGTGGGAACCTTGCGGGGTGCATGCGTCCGCGCCAGCGTTTGGACGCTGGCCGCCAAAGAGAGGGAGGGTTGGGACTGAAGCGGGCTCCCTCACGGCCCAACCGGAAGAAGAAGAGCAGCGATGCACTGCACTATGAGTGACTCTGTCCATCGCATGACGTCCGATGGAGGGATGGGACCAGGTTGTGGCTTGCTCAATGCACCGAATGCGCACAGTGAGCTGTCCATCTGCGACCTGGCACTAAATTCCTTAGCAGGCAGCCCAACTCTTTGGGCGCACACGATGATCACAGCCATGGCGAGCGCACGGGAGTTGAGTCTCAGGCCATTTGTTGAAATGGGCGGTGCGCCAACTCCCGCACAATTCAGAATTCAGGTTTGCCAACTTCTCTGGCTTGTGCATCACCATGGACCTGCGAGCCGCCCAAGAAGTGCAAGGCGAAGTTGGGAGGTTGCTGCCCTTCAGCAGTTCTCCTTCAGACACTGCTGGGCGCTCTGGACAGACTTTTGTTGAAAGCGGCTGCCCACTCCGCTAATTCGCTGGTCCCGCTGGCTGTACCCTGGCATTCATCAATGATTTTGCAAGCGTATGGGTCCGACGCCCGAGCTGACTCCTGCAGCCCAACATCGCGCAACGAACCGCACCAAGCATCAGGGGGCCACCTTCACTTAACCATCTTAACACATGATCCCAAGAAAGGCGACCTTTTTGCGCACTTGCATGTTCAACAGAAGGTCCAAACTTTTCTCACCTATCAAAACGCGCGCTGGCTGACTCCGTTTTCGTGCCGGAGAGTACTGCTGATTGTATGACGTATGCTGTATGCTCAAGACCTAGCTGGCCTAGCGTAAGGGAGAGTGCCTCAAGACCTGCCGTAGGTACAGCAGTGCCATGGGCGACCATGGTCATTCCCATGACTTGGAGCAGCCCTTGATGACTGGGCATAGCCACGCTCAGGAACACGGCCAGGAACACGGCCACAAGCATGGCCACGATCACGGCCACGACCAAGGACACGACCACGGACACGACGACGGACACGACCACGGCCACGACCATGGCCACGATCACGGGCATGACAACGAACACGACGCCCTTGATGATGAGCTTCGTCTTCAGAAAGCTGTCCTGTGGGCGCTGCCACTTGACGTGTCCAGATGCACAGTTTAACATTTGTGCGATGATTCACGAGTTGTTTGGTTCTGCTGCTGAAAGCAGTGCTTGCTCATGCTTAAACCAGTTTGCAGGTTCTTCATGATGGTGGAGATCATTGGAGGACTCCTTGTGGTTTGGCAGCATTCAGTCTACAGCTTCCATCACCTTGCGCGTTCCCGAAGCAGCTTGCTGCTCCTGAATAATCCTAAGTCAGCAATGAGACCTTGCGCTGACTCTCGCAGGCAAATTCTCTGGCCGTCATAACGGACGCAGTGCCCTGGCATGAGTCGTGATATCCAGCAAAGTGCAGTGTTGTACGCTGCCCAGGCACACATGCTGTCCGATGCTGGTGGTTTCATTGTCTCTCTGGTTGCACTGCAACTATCTAAAATGGAGGCAACAAAAGAGTACACATATGGATACAAGCAGGCCGCGCCTCATCTTGCAAGCTTTGAAGATTACTTGCAGCGTGTGGCTGTTCCTAACAGCAGGCAGAAGTTCTCGGTGCGCTCTTGTCAGTGGCCATCGTCTGGGCATTGACAGCAGTTCTGCTTTGGGAGGCACCACATGCCTGTGATCAGATTAGGGACCGTAGTCAGGGTGGCGCTTGTCTTCAAGACCTGCGCGCTTGCTTGCCCGCTGCCTGCCTGACTTTCCGAGTCCTCGATTTGCTGGTACTTCTAGGTGCCTTCTTGTAAGGCCAGTGAATTGTTATGATACCATAGCCAAAGACCAGTGACCGCATTGCGAAGGCAATGCCGAGATTCTTCCGGAGACTTGGCTGAAGCTAGGAGGCCGAGCTTAAACCTGGATGAGCATGCTGGAAGAAGCAGGCCGGAGCCAGTGAACGGCAAGCTAATGACGCAGCCTGAGCTGAGCCTGTGACTGACGTGCACAATCTGAAGAGTTGAGCAGCTTGCAGCTCGTGCATGCTCTTTCGCTTCAGGTTTATCATTGCCGCCATCGGTTTCGGTGTTAACCTGCTACTGTGGAAGGCTTGACACACAACTCATCTATGTGCATGCCTCTCATGCTGTTCATTGTGAGGTGTTGGGACATGGGCATTCGTGCCTAGGCAGCAGCTCTAACGGAAGACGAGCGGAGCCTGGAAATCGAGCCATTCTCGCGATTCTGAAAGCTTCAGGCATGGCCATGGTCATTCACATGCAAGCGACAGTGTTGCGGTGGACGCTGCTCTAGCCCACGTCATCGGCGACATGGCGACTTGGTTATGGACCTGCTTGCTCCTTCCATGTCGGTAGTCGGCGCTAGCGTTGAGCCTGCAAGAACAGCGAATCCCAGGTGCAATCATTGGGAGTGTGTGTAGCTGCGCTTTGCATCTGGCTTGAGCCATTCAACATTGGAACGACGCCGATTGAAAATGGAGAGGCAGCACAATGGCATTTTGTGCTCGTTTTGTCATTTGTGTCTCCGCAGTAGCAGCGCACTTTGTACGTAGAAGGTGAGTAATTGGATTTATGCCGCTTGGTTGCATCTAGGTTTTGGATATGCTTCAAGGACCATCTTGGAACAAGTACAGTATCTAGATACCCCGGGAGCTAATGACTAATTGACGAGAGTTTGCGAAGATATGCTACTGTCACTTACTTCATCCGGACTTTCTTGCTGAAAGAGGAGCATTCTTGGGAACGGGCTCAGCACCAGAATTGGTCTCGGTCAACCTGGTACAGAAACGACTTGCGGGACAATGATGCTCCCCTTAAACCCGTGGGAGCTTACTCTTCAGTCATGGCTCTGGCTGCACTTCACTTCCGGAATCTGTGCTGGACTTTGTTTTTTGCTTAAAGTGGACCGGTCTGTGTTGGATCATGGCCAGAGTTGAAGATCGGCTGGGCATCCTGTGACCTGGTAGAGAACCAACTGGAGGAATTACCAAGAAAGAAGCACACCACTACAAAAGCCGGAGAATCTCTGTCACAGGCCGATCCTCTTTGCACGTGCTGCGCAGCTGCAGCTCGTGATGTCTTTCTGATGACAGATTGGTGAGCTGTAGGCAGCAGCGTTTAGCACAAATAGCTGAGCCTTCAGCACATAGGTTAGTTTTTCCAACTGTGTGCTAGCACCAGCTGGCAACTCAGGTCTGTTTGGGGTCATCGTGCTGTACACCACCAGGTCAACTATGGTGCTTGGCTTAGGCCTTGAAGACTCATGCGGTCCCATGCGCTATTTTGATGAGCCTCGCAAATTTGCATGTTTTGCGCCAAGGTACGCACGGTGGAGACACTTTTGGGCAAGGCCCCTGAAAACATTGATCAGAATTTTGGCCGGGTTTCAGCTACTGCAAAATGGTTGTGGCGTGTTGCAGACTTCGACTTCATGCTTTGATAATGCTTTTGCAGCATGAATGCTTGACGGTCTGACCAGCAGCTGGCAGCATGATGATCTAAGGGACAAGCTTTCAGCCGCCTTGGTGAAAATCCAGAATGCTTCCTGTCTGGACGTCGTGTGGCAAGCATGTGATAACAGCAAATCTGCGGCCTCAAAAGACGCGGAACAAGTATTTTGAAAGGTCAAGTCCATTCACGATCTTCACGTCTGGACTTTGGGATCCAGCCAAGTCTTCTGCACTGCCCACTTAGTTGCGCCTTGTCTAAGTCAGCGTTCAGTTTCCATCTTTGGCTTACGTCTTTGGCAGGTTGATGCACCGAATCATCAAGGCAAGGCTCTTTGTGAGGCCTGGCATCCTGGCATGTGACCGATTGCGTAAGCTTCTTGTGCACGCCGGCTCTCTTGAGATGTGAGGGGAGGGTGGCTTGGGCGAGCCTGGGTGCATTGCAGGCGATATCAGTAGTAAAGCGTGCTGGAATCGGGCACAGTACATTCCAGATGGAGGCTGGTCCTGACAGGAGTGTCAGGAAATTGGAATGTTGAGTGACAGTCCTTGAAGCGGAAGGTGGTGGGAGAGATTGTCGCAGAGAATTGTGGAGGCAGGCCCCGGTTCAGGCTATGGTTGGACGTGATAAGAATTCTTTCGGTAGAAGGTGTTGGGTATGTGGCAGAGAAAGTGCCTTTGGCCTTTGAGTCTGGGTTCCAGAGGCGGAGGATCATTAAGGTTGAGCGCTAAAGGCGCACGGCTAACGTAGAGGGATTGAGAGGTGTCAAAAACGCGAAAGTTTGAAAGCATGCCTGCAGCAGGCTGCGATGATGCGAGCCCGAAAAGTGGCCATAACCGCAGTCATGATCATGACCATGATCATAGCGGACATGCAGCCGAAAGTCATAATTCTGAGCACGAGCCCTGTCATGGGCACGGTGGCCATGGTGGAGCTCATGGTCATGGGCACGATGCGGCGCATTCCCATGCAGACCATGCGGGGAACTCTCACGGACACGGCCATGCATAGCCGCTCTTCGGCAGATGAAAGGTAAGACCACTCGACAGACGTTGAAGACGTCTCTCATCATCTGCTCACATGCGCTGCTCGGGAGGCAGCCGCAGCTCTAGTTGATGTCATATTGTTGAGTAGCTTTCCTGGCGCGCGGCCGGATGGATAAAAGAGAAGTCATTGGCAACACAGCTAGATTAGCTCAATCGCTTTCACGTCCTGCACTTCGCAGTAGGTACTGTAGTTGACGTGAAGTGCAACTTGCATATGGCTCTCTGGTTCCAGCTGGGGCATTGTCCCTTGCCGCTAAGCACAGTGAGCTGCTGGATGCTCAGTCGCCGCGCTGAGTGAAGCCAACTTCACTTGCAAGGACATGTCGTTGATTGCCAGGCGGCCATGCTTCAGCCTCAGCAAGTGCGGAATGGTGCTCTAACCTCAGAACTGAGCAACGCTTTTGCTTTGCTCACATTTGCCACTTTTTTTTTGTGCAGTACCATTTCGCAGGCACGAAGTCGGCTGGGATGGCTGGCAATAGTGTCCGCACCGACCTTACGTGAAATTTTGCGTACGACATGAATGTCTAAATCGTGCTTCTCGCACCATTCAGCACGAGCTTGAGTGCGGCATAGGCATCAAAAAAAATTGATACGGCATCACCAAAAAATTGATACGGGATCAACAAAAATTGATGAGCATCAAAAAAAAAGATCCTTAACAATACTACTGCTATTACTACTGCTACTACTTTTACTACTGCTATTATTCCTATTGTTATTATTGCATTAGTATTACTATTACGCTCATTATTACTGTTTCTATTCCTAGTATTGTTATTATCATTGCTATGAGTATGACTATTTGTATTTCTATTAGTATTTCTGTTACTACTACTACTACTACTACTCCTCCTATTACTATTATTATTATGTTACTATTATTGTCATTACTATTACTATTACGATTACTGTTACTATTACTGCGTTGCGAACATCATTTTTTTTGATGCTCATTCATTTTTTTGATGCCGGACGCCAAGCTTCATATTTTTTGATTTTTAGGCTCAATTTTTTTGATGCTTAGCATTTTTTTTTGATTCGTCACCCTCGTGTGTGGCTTATGATGGAAGAGCAAGTTCCTTTCAGTAGCGTATAAGCTTGCCCTCATGTTCTTGAAGGTCCAGAGCTTGAAGCTCCAGAAACCCCTAATACACGATGAAGTCTGGGCACTTTGCACTCTGCGCCCAACAGCTGATCCGAGCCAAGCCAAGCACTCAAAGGCAGCGCGCATCACAGTTTTTCCAGTGGGCGCAGCTTCCCCATCACCTCCCGTTTGAAGGGCCTTATCCTTGTCCCTGAAAGCGCCTGATCACCTCAGAAGCAGCTCCGAGGTCAAGCTGCATGATTCTACGTGAAAGCTCCCTTCCTACTTGTAGCTTGCAACCAGGCTGCCACTGTCATGTTCGCGAAGACTATCGGGTGGCGAGACTTGTTCAGATCTTGGAGTGTCCTGGAAGCACCTGCACGTCTTCTTGACAAATGGCCAGGCAAGCACCAAGCGAATTGTTGGGCTTTGTAACAGGCTACACTGGACAAGGACTCAACTGCTTCTACATGCACATTCAATGGAGACAATATGCATTCCCGCTTTCCCTGCCTCCCCTGTCTCTTTTGCTTCCCTGCCATCGCATCCCGCAACAAGACATCCCAGTCTCTTGACTGCCTGAAGTGTTGATGATTGGTGGGCTGGTGGGCCTCAGACTGGAGGGTAGTTACTTGAAAATTGCTTAGCTGATGACAGGACCTTCCAGTGACTGTAGCCCAGTAGCGTCGCGCTCAGCGCCATTCAAGTTTCTCAAGCTGTCACCGCCGCTGATGCTGCTACAGTTGTGTCGCCAGATTGCATCCGCTGCCAAGGCCATGGAGGCCAAGCGGCAGCGAACCTGGCCCATAAAATTCCGTCAGTCTGGACCTTGCCAGTCTCAATGAAACATCCATTTCTGCGGGAGTGGACTGTAGGAATGCTGAGTATTTGGCACGCCATCCTCCACCAGCAATGACGGAAAAGGCTGGAGGTTGTCAGGTACCGCTGGTGTGATTCTGTTTGCTTTAGCCGCCCTTCAGAAACGAAAGCGGCGCCTACTGTACATCAAGCTCTTCAGGCGTCAGGCCTCTTTCGCATGCTGGTGCTTGAGGCATGTCAACGTCAATATGCGAATTTGACATGCGGGTATCTAACAAAAAGGGACATCCTTTTGGATTGATAACGGGCCTGCAGCATTGTGGCAAATAGGGCAATTGAACTTTGAGAACGCCATTTTGCAACTGCATCCATGCTTGCAAAGAAGCCATCTACCAGAATACCAGAATAAACAAAATGCTTTCTTGTTGTTGACGAAACCTCGATGGCATCAGCTCCCTGCAGCGAAAAGCCCATGGGCCGTCTTGCTCACCTGCACCAACCTCAGCCCTGATAGCAGCAACAGACATGCCAGTAGCTGCTGCATCACCATCGACATCTACTTGTAGATTGATAATATCAACAGCAAGAACTGCAGCAACCTCTGCCGTCCCCAGCAGCACCCTGACCGTACTCTTCCTGAAGCCCTGGGGTCAGGGTATTTTTTCACACTTCATGGCATTCCCTGGGCTAGCATGGATGATTTTGGGAACGCCTGCTCCTGGAAACATGAACGTTATCATCATAGCGACGTGGTTGGCTAAGGGGTTCGGAAATGGACGCTGTCATGCCACCACCCCACATGCACAACCATCCTTGGCACTATGTAGCAGACATTCCGTCCATAAAGCTAGGATGGCAGTCAGACCGTCACGCGCAAGGAGAATGCTGCCAAGCAACACGGCCGTGTGCTGATGAAGACGCGCTTTCCAAGACTCAGTGAAGACCTGTCACAGAATGCCTAGAAAAAACGCGGAAGTTCAAGCGATGAATCTTCAACGAAAGCATGGCGCAGCCTGTTTTTCCATGGGGACCGTGTAGATTCTGTTGGATGGTGTCCACAAGAACGGGCTCCCAACAAAAATGGCTTTGCATTCTGACGCTAGCTCCTTAGCAGCCCGCCGTTGGATTGAGAAAATGGATCATCACCGGCTCTCTAACACCTCAGCACCCACCTGCAACATGGTGTCCGGCTGAGAGACGACATCATGACAACGTGAGCTCTTCTGGCACGGCATGGTGCAGCCTGAATTGTACTGCGCCCATGCAGAATGAATTGTCTGCGTGAATTCCTCAGGACGAGATGTTGTGCGAAAAGTACATTTATAACGTCCGCCCGGCTTGTCCGCAAACAGTGCATGCTTTATCAGTCCTGCGTTTGATGCGTGCTTTCGTGTGATGCATGCTTTCGTGCGTTGCTCCAGCCAGGATCCTCGAGATGACAGATGGCAGTGGGACGTTGACAAAACTCGCCAATTCCTCGATGAGGAGGTTGGCTCTTGAGCTCAAAAGTCAATGGTGCGCTACTTGCGCGAGTGTGATGTTCGCCGCCAGGCGACTCTGGTTGATGACATCAAGAAGAAGAAGCTGACAAGCCGCGATGACTTGGGTACGCGTCCGCAATCGCATCGCATGTTTTTTTGTGGCCATCTTGCAGCGCTGCAGCACAGAGGCTTACCTTTGCCGCCAACGGACTTGAAGCTAAAAGCCATTGCCAAAATCCAGCGAAGCACTGCGACCCAAGCTTCGAAGTGCGATCCTCAAGATGCCGCCTTCCTTACAGGACCCTGCAGATTTCTCTTGGGATGTGCAGGCAAGAAGCAGACAAAGTAAAGGCGGAGGCGACGAAAAGCAAAGTACCGCCTATGATGGCCAAGAGACGAGCTCAAGAAGAAGCGTAGCTACCTCAGGGTTGTCAACAGGCATTCCGGTGCACGGCAATGACCCTGATTTCAAGGGAAGTTGATCTGGGCAACGTGGACGTCGAGTTCATGAATTACAAGGCTCACGGCATCCCATGCAGCCAGGATCCCTACTAGTAGGTGTACGTGCAGCGTCTGGGCTGCCAGCGGCACATTGGCCGAATGCTCCTTGCATCTCCTCGCACTGCCACTGTCGCTGTGGGCAGGGCCTGGTCATGACGAAGAAGCAGAAAGCAGCTTTTGCTGCCCGTGCTGCCAAGAAGAAAAAACAAGACCGATAGGCGCGGTTGCAAACCTGCCCCAAGCATCTTGCCGCTTCCGGCAATGAGGTCCTCCCGCTGAAAGCTCCTGAGCTGGCTCGTCATGAACTGTCTGTGTGCTGGAAGCATGATACCCCATCAGCATCACGAGCTGTCTCACAACATAGCTGGCCCGCGCCATGCAGTTTTACGCCTGCTTTTGACAGCGACGCCCTCAAAAGGGAGCTTTGCCGCGGGGGTGCATTGCAGCATTTGCAGCTAAAGGGAAGTCCTCACAACTTTCGCGTGTGCGTGTGTGCATGTGCGTATGTATTGCCGTGCCACATAGATCACAGCGTGTTTGACCATGCCGCCTGCACAGCAATACTGTAGACAAGCCAGACTAGATGCAAAGGATTTGCGCAAGTTGACACTGAAGCCGTTCCGGAAAATCCTGCCATGGTCAAAGCGAAACGGGGCACTGAAAAGTGCGGCGACGAGCCCTCCAAGATGGAGAGCACCGTCAATAAGGATTCATCCCAGGAGCACAGCTCTGAGAATCAAGCCAAAGTGAAGGAGGCTTCAACCACACTTGGCAAAGCGGCCGTTCCTCTGAAGAAGACTCCGGCTGTAAAGCTGTCAGCGACAACTGTTGGACAGATCACTGCATGTATCAAGAAGGAGTGCTCAAGCAACATTGCGAATCCAAAAGCAAAGGCATGCGTTAAGAAGGAGTGCGGAACCGGGGCTGTGATCCCAAACGGAACAGCAGTGTCAGCTGCTGTTGGAAAGAAGAGTGCATGTGTGAAGAAGGAGTGTGAGACTGGGACTGCAATCGCAAACGCGAAGCCAGCTATGACTGCAGCTGGCAAGAGCGGTGCATGCGTCAAGAAGGAATGCG